TGTGACTCTGGAAACTGCCTCCTAATCTGTCCCCATCATAAAGAAACAATTATAAAGCTGATGTTTTACCTCTTTTGACAATGCAAAGCCACGTCTCAATGTTCTTCTGCAGCGATAGTGCCACGTTAAACCAAACGTCACATTTTTTCCATCCACAGATTTTCAGAACTGGCCAAGAGCCTGGTATGCAGAGCAAGGGGAAAGAAGAAAGGCCACCAGTGGATGCTGGATGACAGCCACGAGGCGTCCTACGACGACATCTCTGTATTTGTCATCCCATTACACAACAGGGATGAGGACTGACTGTTAGTGTGACACACAGGACCTGTCTGACCCCTTCTGCGGTGCTCTTCAGTATCGACCTGAGATTGAGGGACTTCTGCTGCGCACATATACTCTCTTCCAGCAAAACCATCTGCAGCGGAACCTGAAAACGCACAGCCAGCACTTATGCCGAAGATCAACAAGAACATTAGCTCTATAACAACATGCAAGAGAGGAATAGTGGGCAACAAATCATTCTCCTTACTCCTTTCTCACTGTTGGTCCAAGGAGAAATTGCAAAGGTGGCCATGCAAGCTGAAGGGTACTAAGATCTTTGTTTCTAAGATCTCAAATCCACATTTCTAGTGACCTCTCTCTCTTTTTAATATTGAAGAATAAGGATCAGTTGAGATCTAACCAGTCTCAAGAGCTGGCTTTTCATCAGACTTGAACTAAGTTGTGTAAAACTGGATGCATAAGCTAAAGCGTCCCTGGTATCCATGTGCTGTAACACGAGATGTACTGAAAACCCGGGAGCTGCTGTTGAGACGGCATCCGGCACGGCTGCACCTACGCAACGCAAATGCTGAAGCAGTAGCCCAGACCTCTTGAGAAAGTTGCCATTTGTAGGCAGCACCACCTCCAAACAGACGCAGCTACACATGGGTGTACAGGAGCCTGCTGTGTGCAGACACGTGCCTCACTGTTACTTAAGAGCATATATTAGTATGTAATGCAACATACAGGTTTCTAACAAATCTTAGTCCACAGCACTCACTAACACTTTTTCTAGTCGTTCAGGTGATTTCTGGCAGCAAAGCTGGTTTTGTAGCAGTCGGCGCTGATGAGAAGTGTTTAGGTACACCGGTTGATTTAGCAGAAGGGCTCCAAGTAAAATAAAACCAGTTTGTTCAAATTTCTCTGCAGTGCTGAGTCGCAAGCACTTACACTTCTTATAGGAGGAACAGCAGCGCAGAAGACTTGAACTCTGCGGATCTGCTTCTCAACCTGTTCATTAGCCAGGCAAATTCAGGTCTGGACAAGCCTCCCGTCTCCCCGAGCCCCTACTTTGGTTTTCATTATTCATTACACAAGTTTCAAGATTCTCTAGCAAAACAGACAAACCCTTGTGTGTGTTGAAGTTCCACAAGGATGAAAGTTCAAATAAAAACGTTTTTTTTTCCCCACAGATCTTAGTGCAGTTTTATTCCTGTTGGAGGTTTTACCTAAGATGGAGAAAAACAGCCTTAGAAAAATCACAGGGGAGTTTTTCCTTTGGATTTGTTGTTGCCTAAAACCCAGTTTGTCACTAGAAGTATTCCCTTAGCAGAGCACTACCCCAAGGCCTAGGCGTCAAAAGACGATTTCCTGCAGTGGGAGGCCTGGACCCAGGAAAGAGGCAGCCTTCTCAGCTATTTGCTCATGGTTTAAGCAAGGATAGAACAAAAACCATTTCTCTCCAGCTTTGCTTTTCCCCCATCCCCTTGAATTTAACCTGAGAACACCACACATGGGGTTTTACCCATGTTAACTTGATGCTGGCTGCTGTCCCCCCTACAGCAGCAGTAATGCTATATATACATTTGACTATAATGATCCAAGGCTCCTGTTA